GAGAAATACTCTCTTAAGGTCTTCCCAGGTTGTTATTAAATTGGGTGGAAGGGAATCCAACCAATCTCGTGCTTTATCTCTGAGGGAAAAAAGGAATAATCTTAGTTGTATTGCCTCAGGCAAATCACCATTGCATTTTAAAGTGTCTGCTAATTGTATAAAAGTTTTTAAGTGTTGATTCGGGTTCTCAGTAGCGAGACCACCGAATTGGTTTTGTTGAACCAATTGTAGCAATGAGGGTTTTAGTTCGAAATTATTTATGGTTATAATTGGGTTTACGATACTTGAACTAAGTTCCTCATCTGACGGTTGGGCAAATTCCTTAAGGGGTCTTTGGTTACGATTCTCGGCCATAGTTTTTCTAATTCTACGAAGAAAATAGATGTAATGTTCAGGTTCTTCTATAGGATCGAATAAGGTTCCGGTGCTGCGAGATCTTCGCATTAACCGGACTGTAAAACTTAGTCTAGACGGTGCGACTATAGGGTGCAGAATTCGACGAAATTTCTCCCCAGCAACGAAGCCAAAAACTTGATGCGGTGTATTTACAAGTGTACGAATCGCGTCAGAGTAATATAAAAGATTATAGATCCACAGAGACCAATCGTCAATCTATCGTTTCCTATTGTTACAGTGTTTAACTAAGTCAATGTTAAACAGGGAATTGAGCATGCAAGAAAGTAAAGTGCGGCGAAATAAACTTCAGATATAAAAACAGGGTCGAATGTAATTCACATAGTCAGATGATATTCACAATGTTTCAGAATAGAACTACTTATAGGGCAATATTTTATACTAAATAAAAGAACTAATTTAACAGGAACTATCGCTTTTGTAATAAGAACCGAGTTTACTCTCTAATCAGACCTTTTTATCGTCACTTATAAAAAGGGGCGCATTGCATTAAAGTAATAAACCTATTTTTAAGAAATAAAGTACTTGACCAAGTTGAAAAGTATTTTGATCTGGAATTTCTAATAAAAAGGGGACCTAACTTTAACCCTATAAACGCGTCCGAAAATAGTTTCAAAATTTATTTCTTTGATCATAAAAATCCCTAACTAACCGGACAAAGCGCTTTCGCTTCCTTTGACCAGTTAGAACTAACCGAGTTTAATAAAGGGTTGGACGGCTTTCGATCTTACCCAACAACAATAGAGTACAGAAAGTATTAAAAACCAAAATAGCCCATAAGCATTTCTATTGACACATTATTTGGAATATCGATCTAACTAGATTCCTTACATTCTAGCCCAGTAAGGTTTAGCCTGACATGGGAATGTAAACAGGCATGTTAAAATAAATCATGCGAGAAAGTAAATAATTTAAAGTGCGGTGCGGGAAATAAACAAAGTAAAAGCACTGCAAAAAATAAACAAAGTAAAAGCAGGTGCGGAAAATAAACAAAGTAAAAGCAGTGCAGAAAATAGACAAAGTAAAAGCAGGTGCGGGAAATAAACAAAGTAAAAGCAGGTGTGGGAAATAAACAAAGTAAAAGTAGGTGCGGAAAATATAAATAGAAACCTGCTCCAAACGGGGAGGTTTTAAATCTGGTACAAAATGGAAGTAAAATGCGACTGGAAATAAATAGCAGTTGAAAATAAATGTGGCAGGATAAACTTCTGCCGAAGTGCTCCAAACTCGATTACAGACTCAATCTACGAACTCGATCACAGACTCAATCAACAGTGCAATAATTCCCCGATGTGAAGAATTATCGCTTTACAATGGTGAAATTATATGGCTTAAGTTCGCAACTATGGTTGGATCAAGTTTGCAACTAAGCTTGGGTCAATTGAAATGAAATCAGGAACCTCTATTTATAGAGGATGAAGAATGCAGAAAATCACAGGAATGCCCCCCAACTCCTTTTTTTGGGGGGGGGGGGGGGGGACATCGTCCAAAGGTGGCACCCGCCATGGAGGCCATGGCGCCCGCCATGAGTGTAAATGAAAGGAAGTGGGGAATGTGGCAGTTGAGGTCAGCAGGAGGTGGTCCACGTCATGGCCTACCCTATGGCTGGCGCCATGGTGGATGCCATGAGGGAAAATTTGACCTAAACTCTTGTTTTTCAGCTTGTTTTCCTTCATTTCTTTAGGGGAGCTATGAATAATTGAAATACCTGAAAAGGAAACAAAAGATAGACATAATACGAGAAAACAATAATAAAAAACCTAAATAACATGTGAAATCAGAGTCAAAAACAAGTGTAAAGTAAGTGTTATTAATACACACTCATTGATTAGAACAACCAAAAAGGACCCCGTTGAGTACAACAGACGTGAGGGGTGCTAATACCTTCCCTTTGCATAACCGACTTCCAAACTCAATCTTGGTTGCAAAACCATATTATCCTTCCTTTTGGGGTTTTCTCGATGTGTTCCTTTCCCCTTTAGGATAAATAATTTTTGATGGCAACTCTCTATGTGTTTTTGCATAGCGACATATTCCATATTTCAAAAAAAAAATTAGTTCAAAAGTAAAGAGTACATCGAATCTTAGAAACAAGAGCATGTTATGGATATATGGAATAAAATAATTTAATCAAATAGTTATTTGAGTTTGAGTTTGAGGTAATATGTGATGATATCCCTTCATTTTTTGAGTATGCATACCAAACATGGTTGACACCTTATGAAGAAAAGTTTGTTGGTGTATGGACTAACTGAGTCACTCATTTAGGGACCACAACTACAAACGAGTACATCCCTTGGGAGTTTGAATTTTTTATGCAATATTTATTTTATTTATTACATCTTTCTCTATTATATGTTTTATAGGTTCAAGTCTGCTCATTGGAGACATAAAACCATGTCGAGTATTAGTGGATGAGATTTGTGCAGATGTTGGAATATTGTGAACACCATGTTGAAGCGCTACAATTAGGTGCAATCGAAAAATCATTTCAAAAAAGTGTTTCCAACATTGAACATCAATATAACACTTCATTTTATACCAGATTACACGACTTCGTATCTAGACACTGTATACAACACATTGTAAAGGAGTTGGAAAGTGTAAAAATAGTTGGTGGTGACAAAGTTACATATGGTTGCTTCATTAGGACAACACATGTATTATCTTCTATGTGTGAACTTGTAGATATTCAAATACAAGGTTACCTTGTTCTATTAGAGTTCATTCATGTGTTTTAGAAGAAATTACATATTGAAGAGTATGAAGTTAGTGAAGAAGAGAGTGAGACACAATTGGAATTAAACAAAGAATGTAAAGAGTTAAAGAAACAGTTTATCACCTTGGATATTGTTTTCCAGAGGGTGATGAAGAAAAAAGTTCGTGTACTTACATATCCATGCATAACTTCTATGTGTCCACTACCAGTGAAGTGTAAGCCAAAAAATGGAGTTAAAAAGAGGAAAAATGGGTAAGAAAGTGATGTGCATAGTAATCTTTCACATTGATGCCTCAGAGGGAAGTTAGACATTTAAGAGATCATCTAGTAAAGCTCCATCAAGTCAACCGTCTAGCAATTCTTCAAAATATCTTTATCAGGCTCAGTTTCTTACTATCTTACATGACTACATTGAAGATATTATAGATCTGGAACCTGATGGAAATTATGGTTTCTGTACTATTGGAGCTTTACTTGAATGGCGGTGAATAATCATGGTTCTTGATTAAAATGCAATTATATGGAAAAGTTTAGGTAAACAGTCATTCGTATTACTAGGTGTTATATGAGATTATCTCTGAAGTTAGGAGTTCATTGCGGATATCCATCTTGCGAGGTCAAGATTATGAGAAATGAATGACAATTCCTGACATGAGTTATCATATTGATTCTAGATACGTTATATTGGTCTCGTTATCCAGTAACCTTGACATCACTTTCTTCCCACTTGTGGTATCTGTATCTATGTCTATGAGTAGACATAAAATGATTGCAATTGATTTTGTTAATAATAATTATTGGGTTCTCGTGAAGTTGAAACTCGATTGTCCATTGCCTTCTGTCACTGACCGCTGAAAAAAAATTTGTAGTAAAGATGCAAGAGGATGTGAAACAACATATGTGTGACGTATAAGATATTAAGAGGAACACGTCAGGTGGTCAACATATTATTTTATATTGAGATTATTCTATAATTGCAATTTTATATATATATATATATATATATATATATATATATATATATATATATATATATATATATATATATATATATATATATATATATATATATATATATATATATATATGTTTTTTTTTTGTTAGGTTGTGATTGTACATACATTTTAGCATGTTATGTCATGTTTTGTTAAGTTATGTAAAGATATGTTTATATCCGATAACTTAATTGAGAGTCTTATTAATTTCTTAAATATTCAATTGAGAGTCATAAATACTAAATATTTTAATATATCCGATAACTCAATTGAGAGTCTTATTAATTTCTTAAATATCTGGTACACGTCCATACTTAAATACCAAAATTTTGAAAAATATGATAAAAAGAATAATCTTATATCACATTTTTCGATATAAACTCATAATTTTGATATTGACATTATTGAAAATTTGGTGAAACTTCATGGATTATCTAAAAAAACCTAATATTTTGAAAAGATATTCAATATAAAAATTTAAAATCGAAAGGTAAACAGAAATTATTTATAAAAATTCGGTATTATTAACCAAATATCTGAACAAACAGAAACTTGAAAAATTTAATTTATTAAAAAAAATTAGGCATTATGTTAAAATTGATGAAAATGTAGTAGCTCATAAAAGATCTTTTGTTCTCCAATTGGGCCAGATCCAATAAACTCCAACCTTGGCCTATTGAGCTGCATGGATAGTCAAAAAACGAATCGACACGTGACATTACCGGTTTCCTCCAAACGAACACGTGTGTCGTTGTTAAACATTGTAAACCGCCAACGAAACAAACAAACAACGTTGTCCATACCTTTTCCTAGACTTCTCCAAATGTTCTGCATTTTTTTCTTTTTTGGATTCTAAGAACAACAACAACAACATGGATAACAGAACACGATTAAGAGTTCAAAACAAGAAGCCAATCAAGCGCAGCGGAAAGAAGCCGTTGGTAAAACAGCTTTTGGATTATCTTAAGTCTGATACTTTTTTGTATGCTCCTCTTATCTCTCCTCAGCCTTGTGGTTTTCCATCAACCAATGCATTCAAAGGTTTGAAATTGAAACTTATGATTCTTCGTTGTTTTTTATTTCCATCATTGTTTTTTTTTTTTAATGGAGTATGGTTTTTATTTTTATTTTTTATGATCTTAGTGGTGGAGCTGAAAAAACCTATGAAAAAGAGGCACTGGTTTAAGGAGTATATAAAATGTCAGGGTTATATGTATGATACTGTTCTTGAGCTTCCACTTTCATCTCAAGGTAAGTAAGTACACTTGTACTTAGTTTTATGTTCTCCACTTTGTTTGTTATTACATATTTCGGTTGAAATAGTATAACAAGTGTGAGTAAGTGGGAAAATAGTCTCACATTGGATAAGAATGTGAAGATTTAAGCATATATATATATATATATATATATATATATATATATATATATATATATATATATAAGTGAGAGAACCCATTCACCTATTATCTTAAGGTTTTAAGTGGAGAAGTGACGTGTCTCTCTCAAAGATGCTTGTTCATACACTATGTATTGATGCTCCTAGTATCTCCCCCAACAATTTCTTTCATGATTTTGTGTTTCAGCTGGAAGTTCACCAATGAATGTCAACAAACAACAAGATAATGACTTAGGAAATATGAACCAAAGGTCTGAAAATCATTTTTCACCAACTCGTCTCTCTGATCGACTTACTCGGGAACAAAAGGAAACTCTGAAACACGTGTACCAAACTTGTCGCACAACTTCAGCTTCAGGTAAGAGTCTTCACTGCATAAAAAGCGTGAGCTAATTTACTGCTTCAACTTCTCTGATACATTATCATTTTTCAACTATTTCAATGATTGCTTTGTTGTTCGTTGCTTATGCTGCAGGAAATGTGAGCCTCAACTCACAGCTGAGAGCTCATACTTGATGGAACCCTTTGGATATAAATGTGAACAATCATATATAAGGTGTTGTTTTAAGTGCTTACTGTTCATAATCATATGGTGAATGTATTTAGAATTTCACTAGTTAATGTTCTTTGTCTTTTGAAAGAATGTACTAATGTCGTATTTGTATTAACTTGTTTTGATATGTAATGTATAAGTTGTTTCTTTGTAGTTTGAACTAATTCTTTATGGTTTGTAACTGGTTTTTATTGTAAAACACATTTTAACTTTCGGCAGAAGACATTGATGATGAAAGCGCACACACGTTTAGACATGTTTTGAAGGCTATTATATTTTTGTTTGATCTAAACTTGGTGTTTTAATTTTATTTAACACGATTATAGTTGTCTAGATTTCGATCTAGATCTTAATCTCTTAAGATTTTAAGATTTCACTCACCTCTAAGTCTAACAATCCTTTCCCAATGACTTTGAGATGGCTAGCTCAACTGTCGAACATAAAACACCTAATGCTAGAATTAAGTATGACTACCTTGTAATCCACTTTCATGGATTACAATCCTCCCTCAATGATCTTGGGAGATGGTGTAATCGTTTGAAGTTTTATCCAACATAAAATACTCAATGTTAAGATCAAGTATGTGTTATGTCTAGTGATCATAAACACCCACACTATTACACTATTAGAAAAATTATTTTTTATATTTTGGACTCTATCATATGATTACACTATATTCTGTTGTTTTTTTTTTTTTGAAAATCGAGGGGATTAAAATAATTTAGTATTCACACTTTGAATTTCAGCAAATTTAAATTATGTTTTTATTTTATTAAAAGTGGTGTTTATTGAATTTTTTTTTAATATAAAAATAAGCTACTTTACACCTCAGTTTTGTAGTTTTGTTTTTCAGCTGGGGTGAAATTGTTTTCTTGAAATTGTTGTTGTTGATATCTTAAATCCTAGAAGTTTATTGATGACGATGTTGTAGTTTTATTGAATGATTATTTTTTTGAGTTGTTTTTTTTAAGGTAAGTTGTGTTTTTTGAGTTGTTGGTGTTATAGTTGGTGTTATTGAGTTTGAGTATTGATATTGATATCAGTTATGTTTTTTTTTGTGTGTAGATCATATATTGTTCTATCGAGTTGAGTTTATTATATCTAATATCGATTGTTTGTTTCACTAATTCCTCTTTGAACATATAACTTATTAATTTGATTTTTGAAATAATCATATAAAAAATTATGTTGTATTTGAAACATATCTGATATTAATTATTTTTCAAAGTATCAAATTTTATGCTTTGAAGAATGAATTAATAGAAAAGAAAATGTTAAATAAAAAATTTAAAATATTGAAGAGATTTTAACAATTAAAGAGCGAGAGGTGAATGATGAGTTAGAGAATGTTAAAAAATTATTAATTAGTGTAAGTTATTCTTTATATATAACACAATTGTTCAAATAATGAATTTTCTAACCAATTTTTAGAATCATATGTCTGTTAGGATTTAGTAAAACAAACGATCCATATTAGATATAATATTTAATCCATCGACTAAATTTCAAAACTGAAGGAAAAAATTGTACATTATATTTATTTTATTTTTTATTTATAAATTAAATTATGTATTCTTTTGATTTTGTTTAGAAGCGAGGGGTAAGTCCATATTTCATTTTATTTTTTAATTAAAAATAAAATAACTTTTCCTATCAATTTTATAGAAAAATTAAGGGGTATGTTATATATTTATAAAGAAACAACACTCGAGTTATTGTCAATAAATTAATCCACAAAAAAATGTTACGCTGATAAGAACATAAACACTACTACTCTATATATTGTACGTTATGTGAAATTCTCTATATTCAATAAAAACACGATCACCATCATAATTTTTCATTAAAGAAATAATGGGTATGCAATCTTTGTCTATGGGGTGGATTGTAAGTGTAGAAAAGAAATTGAATTCAGGTTAGAATTCTTACATAATATCTTATTTTTTAACTGTAATAAAGTTTTATGTTATGCATCTAATTTTTTTTAATGTTATATAAGAAATTGAATTCGTACAAAACCATCGAATTTGAAAAGTAATGAATATGTAACAAAATTTAGAATTGTTCCTCTCCAAAATATATCAATGACGACGATGAATTAGATTTGTCAAAAATTAGTATTTATAGATTAAAAATTTATATTTTAATTTATGATTAAATAATGTAACTTAATATTCTTTGTAAACATTATAATTTGTTTTTTTAAATATATCTTTTTACTCTTGTTTTTGGATAAAAACCGAGAGGTATATGATACTAATTTTGAAAATATAAAAATTGAAAATATAATTTTTTTTTTGTTAGGGATCAAACCAATGACAATTTTAACTATTCACTCGATTATTCAGAAATCAAGAAGTAAAGTGACAAATTTTCATGATGCTCTTCATCACCTCGTCTTTGTAACTGAGGTTAAATCGCTTTCGCGTCTGATGTTAAATGTGTTATTTGCAGCAGTGCATTAATATTATTTAGTTCTAATATACAAATCCGTCGTTAGTTCTCATTTTTATTTAGGTCTTTTTTTTTCAATTTTGTAGACGAAAAAATATTAAATACAAAAAACATTGAATAAGTATAAGAAAATTGTAATTATATAAAGAAAATGTAAACGAATCATATGATTCACATTATGTGGATGAATACATCTAAGGAGATCTAATCTCTAGAAACTAACTACTCACCCTTAAAGGATTTATGAAAATTACAATATAAAGAAAAAAATAAGTCAGAGAAATAATTACGAATGATTCCTTAATGATATCGTGCGTTTCCCTTCTCCATTGTTTCAAAATGTGCCTCCTTGATCATAAAATTTTGAAATCCTAATAACTAAACGATTTTTATATCATATTGAAAAAATTTAGAATTGCACCATCGTGTCGCGGAGAGAAAAATACCTAAGAAAAAAAACGCTCGAAATATAATAGAGTCTCCACCGAACTTTATTATTCCAAAGGAAAGGGAAAATATCGATAAAATTCACGAAAGAAAAGAAAAATGGTTGTCGCAACTAAATTATGGTTCGATAGTCGATTATGCAAGGGGAAGATATTAACATTCATCACATATATTGTACTCAATTAGGGTTCGAGATTCAGTTATGCCTTGTTGAACTCAAGAAGGTACAGATTCAGGATAGTACGAGCAACTATTAACAAAACAACCTATTTAAGAAGGCTTCCTATAATGGGATAGTTATAGGCTTTTACCCAAGAAACCACTCATAAAGTTAGTTCTAGGGTTTTTGATAAGAGGATACCTAGAGTTACGGACCTTAATCGGAATTTACCCATGCAACGGGCTAGCCGTTTTATGACAATCTTCACGAACAAATCTACTCTAGGCGATATCTTTTCTTTGTCCATTTAAGTTGTGAACCTTGAGGGGAAACACTAATCAACCACCAACGTATAACGGGTTTTATAAATGGTCCTTAGAGTCATAAACCTTAGTCGGAATTTCATCATGTAACGAGCTAGCCATTTTATGATAAACTTTGTGAAGAAGATCTACTCTAAGCGGGGTCTTTGCAATGTCTGTTCAAGGTGCGCACCTTGGGGGCTCACACTACATAACCACCATCCTAACTTATGTTTTTTCTAAGCTCGGGTATAGATCTTCACTCAAGAAATATTTTTCAATTCCCACATATGAAACATGGATAAATAAAATTTGATAAAGCAAGATAAAGGAATCATACAACATAGAAGAATAAATACAACGCTAATAATCAAACACAATGCTAATAAACTAGGCTGGACTCGCTTAGGAGAATTAATCCCAACAGTTTCGTAAGCTGTCGTGGTGCAAAAAATACCCAAGCGAAAGGAACTCTTGAAATACAACAGAGTCTCCACTGAACTTTATTTTTTCCAAAGAAAATGGGAAATATCGATAAAACCCACGAAAGAAAAGAAAAATGGTTGTCACAATCAAATTAGGATTCAGGAGTCGGCTATGCAAGGGGAATATATGAGCACCCCCTACATCTCTTGTACTCAACAAGACCCATTTAGTTAGTTTTACTAATGAGTGTTAGTGTATGTTAGTTTGCGATCTTCAAGTTACTATGCGATAAAAAGGAAAGAAAGATTTTTTTTACTATTGTTCTCACCAAGATTTCAAAATCTTGTACCTATGTATTTTCAGGTGCAATGAGAAGATCAGAGCTTCGTAGTTCATGGTAGAAAATTATGAGTTTGTTAATTGCTTTTAGAGAGTGATGCTTAAATCACATTGAGTTGTTAAACATTGCTTGTTGCTAGCATTTAGAGGTTAACGCGTTTGTTTGTTTTGCATCGAATGGACCGTATTTGAGCGGTTAAACATTGTTTGTTGTTTTCTATTGGAAGTTGAAGAGTTAGTTTGTTTCGTGTTGAATGGATCGCATTTGAGTGGTAAAACATTGTTGTTGCTCACTCCTTAAGGCTAAAGCGTTTGTTTGTTTCGCGTTAAAGGGACGAATCATACTCTTTTATTAAAAGGTTTTCGAAGTTCCGCTAAGGCGAAAAAAAGTTTGAAGGGTTGAAATTGATTTTATATGGAGTCGAGTAACTGTTTGAACAAGGTGTACACCATGGGCTCATTTACCTTAGGTTTGAAGAGGATGCGCATCCAATTCTCTTTTTTTGTCCATGTTTAAGAAAATTATCTTGGCGAAATATGAATAACTGTTTGAACAAGGTGTGAACCTTACGCTCGTTTACTTGGGTGTCAAATCGATGTGGCCTTATAAGGCCTATACTGACCTATTTCTACCCCCTCATCACCATATTTCCTACTCGTAGGAAATTTGGGGATTGCATATAAGTATTTAAAATCAAGGAAAATCCTGATGGATTTGCAAACAAATATAAAGCATGTATAGTTGTTAAAGGATTTCATCAATAACCTATATTTTATTACAATGAAACTTTCTCTCCCAATGTTAAGCCTACTATTGTTTAGGTTATGCTAACAT